GAGGGCGTTGCTGTGGCCCCCCCTCACCCCGCGTGTCACCCCGCGTGTCGCCTGTTGCCTGGCACCGCGGCGCGCTGTTGTGCGTTGCGCAATGCCGCGTTGCGTGTTGTGTTGTGCGTTGGGTGCCGCGCGCTGTCCCCCTTACCGCCCGTCCCGGCTCCCGGACGCTCCCGTGACCCCCGAGGAATGTGGCCGGGTAATTATAGCCCGAGAGGGACACGTGGCCCCGGCCACAGCGGACAGAGGCCGCGGGGCTTCGGTGACCTCGTGACGGGACCGCGTTGGCCACCCAGGTCACCCAAGGACACGGAAAGTGCAGGGACAGGGAGCCAAGGAAGGTGCCTGAGCTCTCCCTGCTCCTGTTTAGGGCAGAGAGCCCTAAACCCCGCGCTGTCCTGGCCATGGTGGCCTGGGCACGGCCCAGAAGGACCAGGGCATCCAACGGAGCAGGTGAAGAGCAGCAAGATGCCACCACCACCTGGATGTCCAGCGATGCTCCTGGGAATATCCTGCCCACAGACCAAGTGCGCTGGGGAAGCAGCCCACCTTGCCACGGCCACCGCAGCGTGTCCCCAGCGTGTCCCCTCCGCTGCCATCCTCATGTTCCCAAACCCCCGATTCCCTTTAGCATCACCGCTAAGCTTCATCTTCCAACGGCTACACCTTTTTTTATTGTTTTCATGTCAGTCCCAGCACAAAAACACCCTAAAACAGCTGGAAAACACCAAGATTTAGTGACAACTGTTGATTTGACAACATATTTATTATACAATATCTTATTACACAGAACATTTAACTTGGGTGCTACAGCTTGGGAGGTCCCATCAGCCTCCAGCCCTCGTTTTTACCTATCTTCATTAAAGCGGCTGCAATTCCAAAACCGACACACGCGGTGGTTCCGGTCATGTAACTGTGGACTGGAAAATAAAAAAAACAAGCCAAAAAAGATCTATTAGGGCAACAGAACAATACTGTGGATCGTGACAACCTGGAATTTGGTCACTTGACCGTAAGTCATGTTGGCTGCTGACAGAAACTGACTTCAAACATCTGCTTAAGGCGTTAATGCTACTTCAAGAGCGGGGAGGTTTTCACTCTTATTTTTATGTGGATTTACCTCGTGCACCTAGGACAGCTCCTGTGGCGCAGCCTCCTATGAAATAATTCAAAGGATCGTCTGGTTTCTCGCGGATTTGAGCACTGAGGCACGTGGTGACACCAAACACTGCTCCTAGCGTAGCTGCAGACAAAGGCAGAAAGAAAAAAATCCTTCAAGGAATTTGGCGCTAAATACCAAGAATGTGTATTTTAAGAGGCATGGTGTTTTACAGGAATTCCTCTGGAAGAACAGAGCAAGGAAACTGAAACTTTGGGAGCTGCTTTTAACTCCCTATGGGCATCGGACCCTTGCGTTTACTTAAATAATTAAATAACATTTAAAATACATTAATTATTTAAAGCTTGTTTTGGGTATCCCCTCTGGTGCAGCAGCAATGCAGCCACCCCCATGCAGTGCAGGGGGGCTCCTTGGGTGTTTTGCTGATTCCTCACTAAACCTCTTCCACATCCCAGCACACGAAGGTGTGTTCGAACGGCTACAAAGGCCACCTTGTCCCAGGTGCCTCATTATTTTATAAGCAAATCAGCCTAAGCACCTGCAAAGTCGCATCTTCTTGTCAACCAGACTACATTATGCAGCAGAAAACATCACCGATGTGTAAATAATGATTAATATAGAAATAAGGAGCGTGCTGGAGGGCAGCAAATGGATTA